CTCCTACCAAGTTTTTCACTCCTTTTATGAGGAGATGAGGAGTAACTTTTCCTTCTCTGCCAAAGCTAAAAACTTGTTCCTCTCACTGGCTGAGTCTATAGCCCAGACATTGAATGTCACTTTGTGCTATGTTGGTGGGGGGATCAGCATGGGAGACCACTGGCCTTGGGCAGCAAGGGAGCTGGACCCATTGGAACCTTTTTTTTTTTTTTGCAGAGGTCAGAAAGATTTTATTTACAGAGAATTTAGTTGGAGAAAAGAGAAGAGAAAGACTGCATATTGGAGAATGCAGGGGGACCAGGAAACCAGTGATCCCCCCACTGGAACCTTTTAATGAGACTGCTTTTCCAAAGCACAGGAAAGGCATCTGGCTCCTAAAAACTTTCATCACAGGAAATTATTGTATCTCCTGCTCAGAAGGCCAATTCTCTATCTCAGTGGGGGATTTAACTTGTTTAGGACAAAAGTTTTACAATGACACTGCCCAAGAGACCCAATGATGGAGAGCTCCTAACCATACAAAACCCCAGCCCCACCCACTGGCTAGCTTCTCTAATTTCAGGAAAGCTTGGGACAATCTTACTGCATACAGAGAGTGACAAGCACCCAGGGGGCTACACTGGATCTGTGGGAAGCAAGCTTATACAGTGCTATCTAGTAGCTGGTTTGGGTCTTATGTGCTAGGCTCAATCAGACAATCCTTTTTCCTGCTTCCTCTCAGATAAGGTAAAAAACTGAGAGTCCCCATATATAAAGAAAAATTAAATAGACAAAATTGGCAATTGGAAGGATGAATGAATCATCCAATACTATGGTCCTGCCACCTGAGCAAAAGATGGGTCCTGGGGCTATTGCACCCCTAAATACATGCTCAACAGCATCATCAGGCTGCAGGCTGTTGTTGAAATTATAACTAATAAAACTGCAAGAGCTCTCAATTTGCTGGCAAAACAAAACACAAAAATGTACAATGTCATCTATCAGAACTGCTTGGCTTTAGACTATTTGCTGGCCTCTAAGGAAGGAGTTTGTGGAAAATTTAACCTGAGCAATTGCTGCTTACAGATTGGTGATGAAGTAAAGGTCATAGAAGAGATCACAGACAGAATGAGAAAGCTTGCCCATGTCCCCGCCCAGACTTGGAGAGGACGGGATCCCAATGACCTGTTTGGAGGGTGGTTTTCTGCCTTAGGTGGATTCAAAACTCTGATAGGGACAATAGGCCCAATCCTAGGAGCATGCTTAATATCACCCTGCCTGGCTCCCCTGGTGTTACAGTCTATCAAGATTATTATGAAGACCATTATAAAAAGAAAAATGGCATGTAATGGTGCTATGGAAATACAAACTCCTAGATCAAGATGATGCTCTTTGACCCTGACTGGGTCCGAGCATCAAAGGGGGGAATAATGTAGCAGGAAAGGGGAGACTAGAAAAGAAACAGACAGGCTGGTGTTCTGACAAGGAGACAGAGGGAGGGGTGGCAAAGCAGAGAGATAAAACTTAAAGAATTGAAACATAAAGGTCACATAACACTGGGGAGATGAAATAGCCAATGAAGACACATGCAGCCATATGTGGGTTGAGCTTTGCTTTCTGATTCTGTAACCTGCTTGCAAGGGTATATAAGGTGAGACCTCTTTGTTCTCAGGGCTCAGCCCTTGGACATGAGTCCGCTGGGTCTGGGCCGGCACAATAAATGTTGCTTCCTGTTAATCTGCCTCAGAGACTCGTATCTCAGCTCATAATTTCCCACAATAAGCAGGAAAATCTCCTCAGCAAATTGAGCATGTGAGTCTACAAATGTCTTGAAAAACTGCTAAGTTGCATAGATGCCATGTTTGTTTTGGTTTCTCCTCTCTTCTTTTCTTCAGAGCCCCATGTGAGTTTCTTCTTTACCCCCCCGCCTGTGAAATTTCAGCCTCTTTTTGGCTTTTATGCAGTTGTGGTGAGCACTTGCTTTGGCAGTTCTTACACTAAGCTCTGGAGTACCTAGTTTGAGCTCCATACTCCACTCCCCAAGTCTTGTCTGTCCTCTTTTTAAGGCCTGATTTGTGATTTTTTCTTTTCCCTTTTTTGACAGAGTCTTCTAGTCTATCATTGACTCTAAAATGCGGAGCAATCTCCTTCCACTGGGTTTGAGAACTTTTCAGTTAGAAATATCATTTTCAATATATCTTTCCCAGAGTATTTTCTTTCTTTCCCATGGGATCTTGAGGTCGAGGGTGTTTTTATGAAATTCTTGAAATTTATCCCATACGTTTAATGGAATTCCTGAAGAGCATTCTTCATATACATTCACATTTGCCTTTGTTTTAGGTTTGGGTCCATCTGATTTTCTGTTTTTGGAATGGTGCCAGCATTCTCTAACTTGGCTTTATCTTTGGAATTGATTCAACATCACTTTCACTTAGGCCACAAGGTAGCAGCCCATTCTAGATCTTTTCTCTGGTCAGGAAGTGGCTGCTCACAGCCATCTGAAGACCTGGTCCAACAGTTTTATTCTTATTCCCTTGCATTCCAAGCTTAAATCCTCCCAAGCTCAAATTAAGTGAAAATATAAAGTCCCTTCCCTCTCTCTTTAGTCTTATTCCTGATAGGATGAAGCAGTGTATTGTAAAGGTTGAGCGCATAAACTCAGTAGCACACTGACTGTATATAACCTTTTCTAAGTCTTAATTTCTTCATCTGTATCACAACAGTGGAAGAATGAATAGAGGAAGTCATTTTTTTGAATGAATGTGGAGGGCCATTAATAAAGGCAGGAGAATAGATACTGGCTAAAGATAAACAATGGATAGGTGGAAATTCAGCAAATTTTTGCCTGACATGAATTCTTCCTTAAGGTTTTAATTTATTGCACAAGAAACATATGAACTTATGTACAACTTTTTCTTTTTTGTGTGGTACTGGTATTTGAACTCAGTACTTCACACTTTCAAGGCAGTGCTCTATTGCTTGAGCCACTCCACCAGTCCTCTTTTTTGTAATGGGTTTTCTTGAGATAGGGTGTCAGGAACTATTTGCTTGGGCTGGCTTCGAATTGTAATCCTCCTGATCTCTGCCTTTTGAATAGCTAGGATTAGAGATGTGAGCAACCAGCCTGGCCCATGTACAACATTTCTTTCTTTCTTTCTTTTTTTGTGGTACTGGGGCTTGAACTCAGGGCCTACACCTCAAGCCACTACACCAGCCCTTTTTTTTGTGAAGAGTTTTCTCCAGATACGGTCTCAGCCTGGGCTGGCTTCAAACCGTGATCCTCCTGATCTCTGCCTCCTAAGTAGCTGGTATGACAGGTGTGAGCCATTGGCACCCAGCCATGTACAACATTTCTAACAGTAAAAGGGATGCTAGTGATTATTTAAAAAAAGAAAAAAAAAAAAAAAAAAGAGCAGGGGCTGGTGATTCACACCTGAAATCCTAGCTGCTCAGGAGGCAGAGATCAGCAGGATTGAGGTTCAAAACCAGCCAGGGCAAATAGTTTGAGAGGCTCTACCTTGAAAAAAATCCATCACAAAAAAGGGTTGGTGGAGTCGCTCAAGGTGTAGGCCCTGAGTTCAAACCCCAGCATTGCACACACAAAAAAAGTTGGGCTGGGGGCATTACTCAAGAGGTAGGGCACCTGCCTAGCAAGCTCGAAGTCCTGAGTTCAAAACTCATTACTGAAAAAAAAAAAAGGTGGATGGGACTGAGTTTTTTATTTACAAAATGTAAATAGCATTTAGTTAACACTTTACAGAAGAAAGTACTTTCACACACACTTGGTTAATTTAACCCATGCAATAGCCCTGGGGCAAGTATATTTAACCTTACTTAATGGTAGGGAAATCTAGTAAGCAGAAACATATGACTATAAACGTTATAAATGTCAGTAGTGCTATGGATAGACTACCCTATTAGTACTGTATTGCACTGTGTTCTGTCGGTACATCAATGCTAACCAATTCTTCTATTCAACAAATATTTACTGAGGGCTTACTAAGTAGTAGGCACTGTCCTAAGGACAGGGATACAGGAGAGAAGAAAACATTCCTGCACTCCTTAACTTTACCTACTAGAGGGATAGGAGCAGGCGGGCCATAAAATAAAACTGCAATTAAAAAACCCCATATATATGGTGTGGTAGATGGTGATAGATGCAACACAATACAATTTAGTAGGGAAGACAGGCAGGAAGTATGCAGGTCTGGCTCAATTTTACATAGGACGATTAGGATTTGTTATCTGTTCCTTCTTGATCCCGCTTCTTCCAGGTGAGGAACAAATCTCACTCCCCTTTATCTTCACACTCCCGGCACCAGACACTCAGAGAGGCAGTCACTTAATATTGAATAAATGATAAGTTTCTGAGAAGCAAACATTTCTATTAACAAGTGGAATTCTTTTTAGTATGAGTACATTACAGCATGAAAGCTGTATTAAAATATTCTTACAGGTCTTTTACATATTTCAAACATCTAGCTACGTCTATGACCCGACTACTGCGTCTAAGTGTGTTTGTGCACACTTAAACAAAACCAAAAAAACCCACCCAAACCCCACACTCAGCATAGCCTTTGCCAATTATTTCTTGATGAGAAAAGTAGGTGTTTTCTAGGGACAAATTAGCACTTGGGGGTTTCTATTGAGCTTCTGGGTCCGGTCCAGTTATCAGTTCATCGAATCTTAATAAATCAAGAAAGCAAAGTTCTAATTCCTGGAAAACAAACCAGGAAAAGTGAGAAATCCTCCAACAAGGCTCGCGCAGTAGCCAGCCGGAACCCTGACCTCAAGATGGCGTCGCGTAGTCATAAGATTCCATCAGCTCCAATCAAAAATGGCAGGGTGGGTCGTAATGTACAGCTCGAGCCTTTCTAGTCGCCACTGGCGCTCCTTCTCTATGGTCGTCATTCTCTGTATGGTGAGTCTGAGCCAGCCGGGGAGACTCTCTAGGTATGCTCGTCTCTATGGTTTCCCGCTCCACGCCCCCGGGCGCAATGCATGCCGGGCAAGAGGAAGACTTCCAGAAGCTCCCCGCGCAGCGCGGCTGTGTTTGCGGCCTATGTGAGTAGGCGCTACGGGACCAGTCTCCTGGGCGAGCGGCTCGCAGAAACCTAGAACCGGTGGAGCCCACTTGTAACCTGGAGCCCAGAGTCCGCGAAGACAGTACCGTTTTCTCAGCGGCGGTGAGTTGAGGCCATTGAACGCGTGTGGAAATCGGCCGACTGGGTACCTTAGCGGAGGGGGGGGGAGGGGGAAGGGGGGAGGGATGTGGGGAGGTGGCCGCGGAGAGGAAAAGCCAGGGTGGCTGAGAGGAGCTGGGGTGGGGTAAAGGGGGGGCGGGGTGGGGGAGGGGACGGGCACGAGGTTTGGGTTTCCCAGCTGCCGTGAAGGCCTGGAAAGCCCGTGGGCCGTGGAGGCCAGACCCACGTCTTGAGTGTTCCTGCTTGCATTGTCGCCCACTTTCCTTTTCCCTTCCACGTTCCGCCTCGCAGTGAATCGCTTCGGCCCCCTCGGGGCTCCGCGTTAGTCACGAAATGCTCGGTCGGCCCCCTGGGGGCTCGTCCTCGAGGTCCTTTTCTTATCAAGCCAGGAGATTCCCCCCCCCCCGCCTCAAACACCCCCCTCCTCCCAGTAGGTTTTTCGGGCCTGGAACGTGCTAGCCCCAGGCTCTGCGCTGAACTAGCCTGCACCCACCCTGTTAGCGAGGTGTTGGCCACCAACGGATTTCTTCCTTTCCTCTTCGGTCATCTAGAGCCCGCCACCAAGTGAACGCCTCCACCACCTTGAGTTTAGCTCATACCCATCTTTTTTCTTTAAAGCCCCTTCCCGACTGGCTTCACGAGTTTCACTGTGCTAACCCCCCCTTTCCGCATTGAAGGATGCAGTGAACTGTGTATCTCCATTCATTCTAGGTACTACCAGCCTCCACCTTAAAATGTGTTATTAACCACCTTTTTTTGGTCTTCAGTATTGCTTTTTAAATACGTTTTTCGGCCTACTGGTTTTCCAGGTGTAAGAATATGAAGGTTTTTTGAAGTTATGTAATATGGATTTATATTGCCATGGAAATAGCCATTTTGATATTGGACCGAGTGGAGCAGACCAGAGAAGAGAATGGACTTGTCTTGCACAAGACTGTTTTAGTGTTGAAGTACAGTATATTAGGCAGTTGGCAGTATTACGTAAACAATTTTTGTGTTGTCTTTGAGTTTTAGGTTTTTTTTTTTTTTTTAATTAAACATATTTTGAGGTAACTTAAACTTACACGGTCATTTTAAACGTTTATTTTGAGACTCATTGTAGAGGGTTACTGTATACCATTGATGCTGTGTTAAGTCTGTAGATTGAGATGGGAAGGATTGATAACAGTCTTGCACTCCCTGGGCATGATTGTGTGGGAGGTATAATTTTTTTAAAAGGTTACTACAAAAACATGCATAGACACAGAAGGGCATTCAGTTGGTTATGAGTTCTTGTGATTCAAGAATATTTTGTACTCTTCTAATAATTTAACTTTTTTAAGGCCTCAGTTTTCATTAATTTGTAAAGGAGAAGTTTGATAGTATCCATCTCATAGGTAATCAGGGTTGGGGATTCAGATAAACGTTTGTCAAATGCTTAGTACTGTATTCAAGTCACATGTACTGTTTAGTCCACACTAATGGACTATTAGTATGTTATTAGTTAGGTTATTTATTACTAAGAATTTTCAGTGACGTCCAAAAGCCTTACCTGACTCGGATTTCTTCCAGTGTATTCTGAATAGACTTTTGTAAACCAAGTCATATTATAATCCTTAAATTCCTTCCCTTTCATATTGGTATGTTATTACCAGAAAGAACATTGTTGTAGAGTGAAAACAGCTTTTGAATTGGTAATTTCAAGATAATGGAGAACTTGAAGTCTTCACCCACTTAAGCTGTTACCTTGGACAAGTTAGCTTCTTCTGTAAAGAAAATAACAAATCTATGCCGGGTAATTTGGGAGATTTAACAAGATCATGAAGACCTTTGCAAATAAAAGTAAATAAAACTGTTAATATTTTTATTGAAGCATTTTGGGGCTACCAGATTTCCTTTTTCTCTTTTGGTCACAAAAGTGGGTGTCCTCCCCCAGTAGAGTACCAAAAAACTTAGGAAAAAAGTTTTAATGTTGCACTGTTGCATATAGCCACCATGTATTAATAATGGTTTTGACTAAGTGTTTTTATTCCTTGGTTTATCTTTTTCACTGTGCTGAGTCTCTGAATATACTGTAAATGAAATTCATGTGTACTTTGGGTAACTACTTCAGATCTAATAGGAAACATGGGACTTTTCAAGTTGTTACCTTTTTGGCCTCAGACAAACTGACAGTTTACTTTTCTCACTTATGCATGCTTTGGAGAAGACTTACTGATTGTTTTATAGCTTTGAAAGCAAAAGTGATCATTAACATCATTAAAAATAATCTTACCACTTTGAAATAAAATGCTGTTGTTAAATTTTGATTGTCTTTTCTAATACTTATATTGCCATTTGTAAAAGGGGATTTTAGTTACTTCTTAAAGCTGCTTGAATAGGTTTTATACCTTTTAAAATTTTTTTGAAATTTGCAGAAAGTTAACACTTCTTAGAGTTACTGAAATAATTTAAAGTTTATGAGAAAGCTGCCAGAATAGCACAACTAATTCTCAACTATTTCACATATACCCAGATTCCCCAAATGTTAACATTTTACCAACTTGCTTTATTCTTTTTATTCTTCCCATGGTTTTCTGAAGTATTTTGTTAATAAGTTGCATGCATGATACCTCTTAGCCTATAAATATTCCTGAAAATTAGGGAATTGTTTCTCTTGTACAGTAATCAAAATCAGGAACACTTTTTTTTTTTGGTAAATGTACAGTCGCAAAACCCTTACCCCAAAAAGATCCCTTCTATTTGTAAGTCATTCACCATTCCACCCTAGTTTATGTCAACCACTAATTGTGGTACCTTTTGGGGGTGGCGGTACTGGGGTTTGAACTCTGGGCCTTGCACTTGCATAGTGTCGCCTTTTAATCATTGAAAATGGTGAGTTAAGCCGGGCACTGCTGCCTCTTGCCTGTAAATCCTAGCTATTTGTGAGGCAGAGATTAGTAGGATCTCAGGTGCCAGCCTGAGCGAACAGGTCAAGAGACTATCTCAAAAGTACCCAACACGAAGAGTTGACTGTGTGGGTTAAGCAGTGTAGTGCCTGCCTAGCAGACTTGAGACCTTGAGTTCAAACCCCAGCACCGCTGGAGGAATAAAAAAAAAAGAAAGAAAGAAAATGATGAAATAACAAAGTGGAAATCTCTTAGAAAAAGAGCAGCTGGGTTTTTGGAGATTCAAAACACTTGAGTATTCATTCCCATCCTTTCTCCTCCTCTTCCCTCTCCTCCCCTCTCTTTGGTGCTGCCCTAGCCCTATTGAGAATTTTTGTGCCTTTGAAAAGCTTTGCTAGAAAAGAAATGCTTTGGTTACATATTTCCTTCCCATTCTAGGGCATGGAACACTTTTATAGTAATGATTTCTGCAGGGTTCAGTTCTGTGGAAATTCAGTTTGTGGAATAATGTTTTAAAGGCCATGCTTTGCTTAGAGTAGGGCAGTTATTTCAGTTTCCACTGTTCTTTGCAGGCTATTATAAGAGCAGGAAAGGGTATATGTTACACTAATTGTCACTTATATTCATTGTGGAGCTGTTGCACTAGCTGTAAAATTTCTTATAGTATAAACTTGGATTTTACCCTTTCAGAACTAATACAAATAATAGAGGAGAATTTGGCACATAATTGGAACTAGGTAATTTATTGCATGACTGAATGAATGAGTGTTTGCTGGGGGGAATCAGTCTGTTGGTTCATTCTTACCATTTCAGACATTTGACAGAGTTAGTGTATAAATCTCTCCCTAGCGGGAAAAAATTATTTTTGGTTGTATTGGGTATTGAACTCAGGACCACCCCATGTTGGGTACTCTGCCACTTGAGTCATGCCCCAGCCCAGTTCTGGATAACTTTGCAATGGAGGAATGCTTTTAAGCAATAGTTCACTGTATTTTACTTACCCATGATATTTCCAGGAGTATAGAAAAAAAGAATGTGTTGAAAGAGTAAAAAGGAAAAAGATTAAAGCAGAGTACATTCATTTGTGAAGTAATATAGCTAAAGTTTAGTTGTTTTTATTTCTGGACTAAATCTATAGAAATAAAAATTACAAACAATAAAATGCATCCACTTTAATTTCAGTGAGTTTTGACATATGCATACAACTATGTGGTCACCACTACACTAGATTTTAGAATTTGGGAACACTTCGTAGCTGCTTGTTTTTGTAATTTTGGACTGTAAAGTTTTATACTTAGAGGTAAAAATACTGTGAACTTTCTAAAATTAAAACTATTTTAAAAAATGTTACTTCACTCATTTCAGTGCTAGTAAAATAACTCAACATCTCTCTTGAATCACACATCAGTCCTTTTGGTTGTCTTCAAAAATACCCAGAATCTAACAACTTGATACTGCTTTCACCACTACCACTTGTTTCAAGTCACAGTTTGTCTGTATTATTGCAGTAGTTTCTCTTCCAGTGGCTAGTGATAGTGTTAAAATTTAAGTTAAAAACCTTTCAGATGTTTTCCATCTCCTTTAAAGCAGCATCCAAAACCTTTACAGTGTACTACAAAGCCTTACACTTTCTGAACCCCGTCCTCCAGTAATACTTAGTATTTTTCTTGTTTATTTACTCTGCTGTAGAGGTACTGTTGCTGTTCTTCCCTTAAACACTGTGCATATCTCAGACTTTTTATATTTGCTGTTTCCTTTGCTTGGAAGGCTCTTCCCTCTTAGTGTGAATAGGGCTTCCTGCCTCAGCCTTTCAAATGTTTGTTCATATCTTAGAGGCTTGATCACCGGAATTGAAATAAACCACTCCCCAGCTTTCTTCCCTGCTTTGTTTTTCTACAAAACACCTAGCAACTTTCAATGTTCCTATAATTGGTATTGCAATTTATTTTGTCTTATTTATTTGTAAGTAACAAGTGATAAACTTTAAAAACTGACCATTAACTGATTATTTTTTACCTTTGACATCTAGGCTATGATTAACCAAGTTTTGAACAGCTCCAAATAGAAGGGAAACACTTCATAGAAAATTAAGTGAATGTAATGAATCTATTGTTAAGGCTAAAATACATCTGGTCAAAACTTAACATAAAAAATTACAAAATATAGCTTAAACTCTTAAAAATTAGCTTTATTTTTAAAATATATCTCATTCTGGTGGTAGAAAAATGGTTCTAAAAGTGAGTTCGTGGCCCAATTTTGTAACCATTGTGAGTCTAGGCACAGGGCCATTGCTAGTATAGTACCTGGCATGTGGTAGCTGTTTAATAAATTTGTCTATTGAGGTCCTCAGGTGCTGTTTGCTGATTGATTCATTAATCAATTTATTTATTCAACAGGTACTATACCACCTGCCCTCCTAAGAAAGTGCTGAGATAGAGTATTATTATAATACAAGAGCTTCTGTAAGTAGGACAGTAGCCTTCTCTGTTTTAATAGGAGATGTACCCTCCTGCACCCTTTTATATAAATATTTGGTTTTGTTTTTGGGCAGAAGGTATTACAAAAAGGTTGTTAAGAAAATCACACATGCAATCTTACAATCTTGTGTTTTAACTCTGTCATACATGTTGATACCAAGTATACTGTGTTTTCTGAAATAGATATATTAAGTTTTATAGAGTATTGTAAAGTAAAAAAGAACAGTTATGAGCATGAAGGACTTGCTTTTCTCTTTTAAAGAAATGTCTAATAAACAGGTAAAAAGATAATCTTACTAGTAATCAGGGAAATATAAATTGAAGAAAGATTATTTTTTCCTATCAAATTCTTAGAAATTAAACAGTGATTTATGCCAACATGAGCATGAGGAAAGGGCATATTCATATACTGGTGGAGGGAGTATAAATTTGTACATAGTTTTGGGGAACGATTTGGAATGATTTAGTAATCTGTATTAATTACTTGCACAGGTGCATAGGGTTATACATTCAAGAATATTCAACATTACTTGTAAGAGCTAAAAAGCAAAGCCAGCCGTTAATGTTGGCTGAATAATTATTATATGTCTGTATTAATGATAATGCACTACGTTACAAAGACTGGGCTAGAACTATGAAATGATGTGAAAAAATGTCAATGATGAGGGAGAAAAAATTTGTTTATACAAAAGCACAGATTGTTATATGTGTTTATATATAGAAAGATACTTAGAAAACAGAGAGATGTATTCCAAACTGTTGGAATTAGCGGGAGACAAAGTAGAAGATTTTGCACTTTTTATCTTCCCTCTACTGAAGGGCAAGTAAGAATATTACAAGACACTAAAGCCAAGTGTGGTGGCACATGACCTATAATCCAACACTCACAAGGTTGAAGCAAGAGGATGTCTAGTTTGAGGCCAGCCATGACTATGATAGTGACACCTTGTCACAAACAAACATGTACAAAAGAGAAAACCACTTGAGTCACTCTGCCAGCCAAAAAACAAAAAGAGGGAAGAAAAGTTGTGAACAAGGACATAGTTTACATCAATAATGTGACAGACTAAACAAAACAATTCAGTGTATTATGTGTCTAAAAATCCAGTGCTATGGGTCAGGGTTGTAGCTCAGCACCAGAGATCTTGTTACCATACACAAGGCCCTAGGTTTGACTTCCTAGTACAAATAAATGGCAAATATCTGATTTTAAAAGGATTCCTTTGCCCCCCACCCCCATGCTAGAAATTGAACCTAGGTTCTTAGGAACAACAAAGTGAGCACTCTACTACTGAGCTACATCCCTAGACCTTGCTTTTTTGAGAATGGGGTCTAGGGATGCAGCTCAGGATGGCTTTGAATTCTAGATCCTCCTACCCCTACCCTCCAGGTGCTGAGATTGAGATTGAGACATGTGTCACCATGCCTAGCTAGAGGTTTACTTGTAAGATTACAAAAAGTGATAACTTTTCTGATTGTCTCAAGTTATATATTCTATTTGTATTTGAATATTTACTATATGACTTGATGTCAGAAGTCCTGGCGTACCATGTGTCCTGTCTCCCACCCCCTGCTCCTGTCTGTATCAAGTTTATAATTCACTGTTACAGTTGTCTTTGAGGAACTGGCCAACTCTGAGTCAACAGACATTCTTTAACCTTGTAATTTAGTTTTCAGGGATCTGACGGGTTAGAAAAAAATAATGCATCAGAGTACTTTAAAAAAACTATTAGATACCCTCCTGGATTCTAGGTTTGGTTTAAAAAGATTCATTGATGTTTGGTATTTAACTTTTGGATATTTACTGAACCTCAAAATTTTTTTCTTCCTTTATATGTATTCCCACATGATTGTAGGAGTCTATCCTGAATTTAGATCGTGTACATTTTGGGAACTTATTTTAGAAAAGATCTAAGTTTTAAAAATTCTCAATGGACAGACAGAGAAAAGAGGGTCTTTGCCAACTCCTTTGGGTAAGAAAACTTTAGAATTTTGCAGATACTCTAAAAATGAAGGCCAACAAACTAGGCATATCAAATGGTAAGGTTTTCAAGTAAAATGATTTGTCATGATTTCTTTCTTTAGACTGCCGCAGTAAGAATGTCTTTCCCCCCTCATTTGAATCGCCCTCCCATGGGAATCCCAGCACTCCCTCCAGGGATCCCACCTCCACAGTTTCCTGGTTTTCCTCCACCTGTACCTCCAGGTAAGTTTGTTAATACTATTTTTTTGTTGTTTGTTTTGTTTTGTTTTTTGGTGGGACTGAGGTTTGAGCTCATTGCTTACCATTTTGCAAAGCAGGCATTCTACCACTTGATCCACACTTGGCTCTGTTTATTTTGAAAACAGTTTTATTAACTATTTGCCTGGGCTGTCCTTAAACCATGATCCTTCCAAACACCTAGGTGGTGTGAGCCGCCAGTGCAGACTCTGTTTTTGTTGTTTTTTTTTAAAACCTGTACTTTTGTCAGTGTAACTTTAGGAAAGTGACAGATACATGAGATACATGACTATGTTAGTAGTAAAGGTATCTATTAGTGTCACTTTAAAAGTGGATTTCTCATTTTCCTGTGGCAGTAAATTTTATGTGTGGCTAAGTATGAGACTTCTTGGAAATTCCTTAAAAATGTTCTGTATTTTTAAAAAAGAAAGGTCGTGTTTCAAAAATAAAATAGAAGGTTATACAGTGAAAAATTTGCCTCACATACCTGCAGCACTGTGGTTACCGTCCTGAGAAACAAAGAAGTGTTAGTTTCTTTTTTTATCTTTCCAGATATTTTAAAATGAGTATTATAAGCCAGTTTAAGTATGTATTTTATTTTAGTTCTATGGGTTTTTAAATTTTATTTTTTCAACACAGATACATAGTAGCATCCTATATTCATTTCTACCCTTGGCACTTTTTTTGCTTGACAGTGTATCTTGGAGTGCTTCCGAAATATAAAAAGCTTCCTCTAAAGTTACATGGAGTTTAAAAAAAAAGTTTAGGCCCTGCTACAATCCGCTGAGTCTGATTCTCAAAAATTGGAGTATTGGGGGCTGATAGAGTGGCTCAAGTGATAGAGCACCTGCCTAACAACTGCAAAGCCCTGAATTCAAAGCCCAGTACTACCCAAAATTAAAAAAAAAAAATTAAGAGCTCTGAAATCTTTATTTTTTATTTATTTGCTTATTTTTGTGGTACTGGGTTTTGAACTCAGACTACACCTTGAGCCATTCCACCTTTTTTTGTGATGGGCTTTTTTGAGATAGGATCTTGTGGAACTATTTGCCCTGGCTGGCTTTGAACCAAGATCCTCATGATTTCAGGTGTGAGCCAACTGCGCCCAGCCTAAGCTTTGAAGTCTTTATTTCTAACAAGTTCACAGCTAGTTCTAGGTATCCATTTAAGCATAGGGAAGCCACATTTGTGTTTTATTTATTTGAAACAAGGTCTTGCTACATACATACCAGACTGGCTTTGAACTTGCTATGTAGCCTAGGCTGGATTCAGCCTTCTGAGTGCCCACACCATCAGACATGCTGGGAAGTCACATTTGAGAACCATTATCTTGAGGTACATAGGTAACATTGCTTGGCCTAAAGAATAGAGGAAAATTTCCTTTTAACTTTTGCACATTTCTTTTGGAACTGAAAACATTTTGTGCAAAAATCAGTTTCCTTCTCTACCGTTTCAAACCAAAAGATAATACTATATCTGAGCGCTGCCCTCTTAAACACAAGCACATACTGTAAGTACACACTGTAAGGCATGCAAAACATTATCTTTGGAGTGATTAAAAAAGTAGAAGTTGACAAGGTTGCCTGTGGGAGGAGAACTAAGGAACTGTGGGAGGAAAATGTTCCTGTAGATATGTATTAACTTTTTAAGAAAAATAATATCTACTTTACAAACTTACTTTCTAGTTTAAAATATAATATGATAGCCAAATACATTAAAAACAGTTCAACTAATTATACTCCTGAGCAAGACAAGAAAATTAACTCATGAAGAAGGGTGCTGGATTTCTTATGTGTGTGTGCCAGGCTAACCCAGGATACTAGTCAAGTGCTCTACCGAGTTTTATCCCTAGCCAAGAGATTTTTTTTTTTTTTTTTTTTTGTGGCAATGGGGATTGAACTCAGCTTCACCATTGCTAGTTAAGCACCCTACCCCTTGAGGTATGACACTAGTTCTGTGTTATGGTTTTGAATTGCTTGCGTTCACCCATTTCCTTTAGTTTATAAGTTATTTTTGGTTGGTTGGGCACTAGTGGATCACACCTGCAATCCTAGCTACCAAGAGATCAGGAGGATTGCTGTTTGAAGCCAGCCCTAGGCATCTACTGCTTGTGCCATGCACTCAACCTCCCATTTCTTTTTTTTTTTAAACTCTAAAACAGTAGTAAACTGTTCACATATTGTGCACTTTGCTTTTTTCACTATAACATGCATAGATCTTTAATGGATCAGTACATTTTTCAATGTGGATTTTAAAATTCAGGAAATTGGCAGTGTGGCATAGTGTTTGCTTAGCATGCACAAGGCTCTGGGTTTGATCCCAACCACCAAAAGAATAAAACGACAAGTTTCAGGAAATTAGTGAGTTAAGTAGGAAACAGAATTAAATTTTGAGTAACCATAGAAAGGAAAAACATGTTTTTTAAGATGTGTTTTTTTTTTTCTCACTGTAATAGTGTTTGAACCCAGCTTCCTGCTTAAAAAGTCGGGTGCTTTATACCACTTGAGTCATGCTTTTAGCCCTCAGTGTTTTGTTTTGGTTTTTTTTTTTTCTTTTTTCTTTTTTGTGTGGTACTGGGGCCTTCACCTTGAGCCATTCCACCAGCCCTATTTTTGTGAAGGGTTTTTTGAGATAGGGTCTCACAAACTATTTGCTGGTCTGGCTTCAAACTGCAATCCTCCTGATCTCTGCCTCCTGAGTAGTTAAGATTGCAGGCATAAGCCACCGGTGCCTTTTTTTTTTTTTTATTGTTTCATTATTCATATGTGCATACAAGGCTTGGGGCATTTCTCCCCTCTGCCCCCACCCCCTCCCTTACCAATCAATGAATTCTTTAATAGAAAGTTTACCTAGAGAAAAAGTGCTGTGGGGGGCTGTTTGCTTCTGTTTTGCAAAGTGAAGGTGAAAAGTTTAGATACAAATTGATTATAGTTTTGAGTTTCTATTGTGCTTAAGTGGTTTATATAAGTTATTTCACAGTCTGAGGAAATAGTTACTTTAATAGAATTGTGAAAACTAAAGCAGAGGATGAAGAAGTACTTTCCCAGAGTTTAGAAGTAAAAGTGATACAACCAAGATTTAAAGGAAATTTGGTTCTTGAAGTCTTATTTTTATGTTACAGTTTACTCTAAACTCACAGTTAGGAAGGTAGGAATCTTGATTTGTACCTTTAGAAAAGTCGTTTTGTGGGGAGGGTGGTACTGGGATTTGAACTCAGGGCTTCACACTTGCAAAGCAGTGTATCTACTGCTTGAGCCTTGTCTCCAGTCCATTTTACTCTGGTTATTTTGGATATGGGGTCTCCAGTATTATTTCCCCAAGCTGGCCTTGAGCCTCAATCCTCCCAATATCAGCCTCCAAAGTAGCTTAAAAAATTTTTTTTGAAGATTATTTTAAATAAATCAGAAAATAAAGGCTAGTGTTAAATGTTTTAAGAATTTATTACCAGCTTTAGATGGACAATTACCTTAAATTGATGTCAAATTTGAACAGAAGGATGATAGGCCTTGCTGTATAGCCCTGGCTGGCCTCAAATTTTCAGTTCTCCTGCCCCAGACTCTTGGATTACAAGCATGTAGTATCATATCTAGCTTGTTTTTTTTTTTTTGCAAGGATTGGGGTGAATTTCTTGATACTGAGACATTTGAAAGTTTTGAAATTTAAGTTAGAAGCTGGGCACTTGTGGCTCACACTTGTAATCGTAGCTGCTTAATCCTAGCTGCTCAGGGGGCAGAGATCAGGAGGATTGCAGTTCGAAGCCAGCTCTGGCAAATAGTTCTCAAGACACTCTCGAAAAAATCCATCACAAAAAAGGGCTGATGGTGGAGTGGCTTAAGAAGTAGGCCCTGAGTTCCAACCCCAGCACTGTAAGGAAAAAATAAGTCAGAAATGTACGCAAGTCTTCAATTTTACAACATCATTACAAGCTTTTTCTTAGTTCTTAAATGTTCCCATTCCTTAATTTTATGAAGAAGGAAGGGCACGAGGACTCTGAATATAACTATTGGTTAGTGTAGTTGAAAATAGCTGTCAATAGTAGATAGCCCTTAGTAACTCTTAGACCCTCATAGTAAGTTATTCAGAGCAGCCGATGTCTTAGAAATTAGTTTCTGCTTTGAAAGTGGCTGAGAATACTGATGTCATTTTTCGCATGATTTTCATTTTTTATGAAAAAATCAGGAATAACAAGATTATCCTTAGATTTCTAGATAAATTTCTTACTTGATACCTGTTTTGGTTTTTAACTTTCAGAGGATTTGCTTTTACTTTAAGTGTTTTATATTTGTTGAATAAATATAGTTTTGGAAATGTAGAATGGCTTACTGGAGCCGATTAACATGTGCGTGCCTTAACATAAGCTTTTGTGGTAAGAACCATTAAAATCTATTCTTAGGAATATAGTAATTGTTAACTGTAGTCACCATGCTGTACAGTGTATTATTTACTACAGTTTAAGAAACTTAGTATTTTTATTTTCGCTTCAGTGTATTTGTTTTCAAAAGGATCTGTTACATTGTTCACTGATGAATGAATCTATTTGTGAAAGATGCTGGTTTTGAAGACCACTGAGCATAAGCTGATAACCATCCAGAATTGTACAGTCCTTAAAGCAAAAGCATGTTGTGACCATTTTGATTTTGGAATGACGTTTTGGTTTTTGGTGGTACTGGGATTTGAACTCAGGGCCTCACACTTTCTAGGCAGGTGCTTTATCACTTGGCCACTCCACCATTCCTGTTTTGTGTTATTTTTGAGATAAAGTCCTGAACTATTTGTGTTGGCTTTGAACCTTGATCCCCCTGACCTCTACCTCCCTAGTAGCTAGTAGTAGAGGCATGAGTCACTGTGCCCAGCTTAGAATAGTCTTTTCATTGTAAGTTTATATGTATGATTTGATATGACGTTGCTTTTGGAAGTAAGATAATCATTAGTATCTCATGTTCATTTTTCTTTTTTTTTGTGGTACTGGGGCTTGAACTTGGGGCCTTCACCTTGAGCCACTCCACCAGCCCTTTTTGTGATGGGTATTTTTGAGATAGGGTCTCACGAACTATTTGTCAGGACTGGTTTTGAACCTTGATCCTCCTGATCTCTGCCTCCTGAGTAGCGAGAACTACAGATGTGAGCTAGTAGCACTCTGCTTTATTTTCATTTTTCTTATATTTCCACTTATATTAACTATAAGTGAGGGTGAGGATAGTTCTTTGTATAGCTTGTAATTGGTGTGGAATATAGTCATATTTAGTGGTAGTCTTAAAGCACATGTTTTTTGTTGTTTAGGAACCCCAATGATTCCTGTACCAATGAGCATTATGGCTCCTGCTCCAACTGTAAGTATAAATTAAAGAATGGGTTATGGCAGTGCTAGTGCTTTTTTTGTGTGCGGGGGTGGCAGTACTAGGGTTTGAACTCAGGGCTTCATGCTTGTGAGGCAGGTGCTCTACAGCTTGAGACATGCCTCTAGCCAGAATTACCTCTGTTAGCAGATGACATTTTTTTTGTGTGATTGGGATTTGAAGTAGGGGCTCTAATTTATAAAGCTAGAGCTCTACCATTAGAACCATGCATCTAGTGCTTGTGCTTTTAAAGCTAAGAAATTTGATAAACTTACATAAATTGTAAGTATTTAAAACAACAAAAAGAGGACTTGTGAATATTCTACCATTTATTTGAATAAGTATTTTCACTCAACTGTGCATATATGCAGTTGGCCTAAAATACACTCTTTAAATCAGTAATTTTATCATTCTTTTTCCCTTACTCTCCAAACTCTTTGTATCCTTGTTATTACAGATTTAATATACTGGCTCTTTCATCACTCTCTCATTTAAACTTACTGAGAGAATGAAGGAAATGAGAGTGATTGGAGCGGTCTAATCTCTCTTTTTTTTTTTTTTTTTTGGTGCTAGGGTTTGAACTTAGGGCCTATACCTTGAGCCACTCCACTAGCCCTTTTTTTGGTGATGGATTGTTTTCAAGATAGGATCTCTCAAACTATTTCCCTGGGCTGGCTTTGAACCTACATCTGATCTTTGCCTCCTGAGTAGCTAGGATTACAAGTGTGAGCCCTGTGCCCGGCCTGTCTGATCTCTTATAAAGGAAGGAATGTAGGAGTGGTTTTCACAAAATTTTAGTTTTTAGCCCCTTTCAACTTATTTTTTCTTTTTCCCTACTGTATCTTTAAGTTTTGTAAACCTTTCTTCTGCTAAGAAGCTCAGTGCATTCTTTTGTTTTAAACCTTAATTCTCCACATTCATCAAAACTTCTGAGCACCTTAAGAATACTAATACAGGACAGGAGGCATGACTCAAGCCATGGAACACCTGCCTAACAAGTGGGAGGCCCTGATTTGGAACCCTAGTACCGCCAAAAAAAAAAAAAAAAAATTCTGATACAGTATAGCACATGGATAATTAATAACCCTGCTTTTATTTAGCTGGAATTTTTCTTTGAGTTAATTGGTATAACATGCATCATTTTAGTGTCTCTGGCTTTTTTTTCCCCCTCTCAGCAGTGGAGTTTGCACTCATGGCCTCATGCTTGCTAGGCAGGCACTCTTACCACTTGAGCCACTCTGCCAGCCCTTCTTTTGTGGCAGGTTTTTCCAAGATAAGGTGTCATAGTCTAATTGCATGGTGCTGGCTTCAACTGCAGACCTCCTGATCTCTGCCTCCTGAGTAGCTAGGATTACAGGCATAAGCCACTGGCACCTTGCCTTTTTTTCTGGGGTTGTGGTAGGGGTTTTGAACTCAGGGCACCTATTTGCAAATAGGTGGTCTATTATTTGAGCCATACCCCCATCCCTTTTTGCTTTACCCATTTTTTGAATGTGGTCTCTCATTTATGTCTGGGTAAGCCTGGACTTTGATCCTCCTATTTAGCCCCCTCCACCACTCCCTTTAACTATGATTATAGGCACCATGCCACCAAGCCCAACTTTTTATTGAGATGGAGTCTTGCTAACTGTTAGTCTAAGCTGTCTTTTAATTGCCGTCTTCCCAGTCTTTGCCTCCTGATTGGCTGAGATTTCAGGCATGAGATAGCTTGTGGTTTGTCATGGTTTGTTGTTGTTTTTTTTTTTAAGAAAGGGACTCACTGTGTAGCTCAAGTCGGCCTGGAACTCACCATCTTCCTGTCTCAGTCTCCTGAGTGCTGGGATTACTGGTTTGTGCTATCACATCTACCTCTGTGGGTTTTGATAAACAAGGGGAATGTTTTTCATAATAATAGGTGGAGGAGACCTACGCAGGCAAATGGGAATCTCTTGTACTTGGGTACAAGATGTGGTACTAGCTAAAGGGGACTCCAGCTTTTCTTGCAATGGACAGTCAAAGTTGGGCTATTATTAGAAAGTCTCCAAACGACATTCTTTTTTCCCCATGTATTTCAGGACAGGAAATAGTGGGATTACGTTTCGAGCAACTTTGCCAGTTTGCCATTTTATTCAATGCCTTATGAGATTGTTAAGTACATTAAAGTACAAGAATTTCTGTTCCTTCTTCTGGGAAGGTATAACTCTTTAAGCTAGGAGCATAAGCATCTAATGAATGGCAAAAGTGTGGGGAGAGTGCTGTAGGGTGTTTGAATATTCTGCTAGAGGATCAGTAGGAATAACTCAAATTTCCTTTCATATTGGTATGGAGAGAATAGGTATGAAGAAACTTGTGGATGTTTTTCATACTCTTAAATGCTTTGTGATGTTTAAACATTTAAAAATGATATCTTAGACATAAATCTCTTTGCTTTTTCAAATTTTTCTAAAGATCAAAACATAGTGGAAGTTTGTCACGTATTTGGATTAATGAAACATGCTGTAAGAGCTTTAGACTAAGTTTTTAGAAGCTTTAATAACGTGCCATATACTTACACTGTAAAATTGGTACTTTTAGCATAATGTTACATTAAATGTGATAGGAAGTTTAATCACCAGATCAATTTTTTTCATTTCTTCACTTAGGTCTTAGTACCCACTGTGTCCATGGTTGGAAAGCATTTGGGAGCACGAAAGGATCATCCAGGCTTAAAGGCTAAAGAAAATGATGAAAACTGTGGTCCCACTACTACAGTTTTTGTTGGCAACATTTCTGAGAAAGCCTCAGACATGCTTATACGACAGCTCTTAGCTGTAAGTTAAACTGTTCATATTTCATTTAAAATTCCTTTACCCGTAACATCGTTCATACTGATTCCCTTCTTAATCTCCATCATTTTTCTTCTTTGTTTTATAAATACACTATAGCTATTTTCAAATGTGTGATACTTGCATTAAATGTTTTGAGAATAAAACACGCTCACAACCCAGCTTTTCAAATCTTAGACTATTTTATGATTTTTAGCTTCAGATTTGGTTTATTTTTTTGGTAGTACTAGCATTTGAACTCAAGGGTTTGCACTTTTTTAGGTAGGTGCTCTGGTACTTGAGCCACACCTGCAGCTCTTAGCTTTGAATTTTTATCGCTAAAGAAATAAAAGGTTAAAATTGAAAACCCAAGTTCCCATTCATTTTCTCCCCATAGTTAATACACAATCTTAAATTTGACATATAGCACTCCTGTGCATATTTTTAATTTTAATTGCATTTTATAATTTTATGAAAATAAGTAAGTTGTGCTCTGTTTGGCAGCACATACACTAAAATTAGAATGGTACAGAAAGATCAGTATGACAGCTGTGGAAGGAGGACACACAAATTTGTGAAGCATTCCATTAAAATATATATCATATATATTTTGTACATATATATTTTGTAAGTTGCAATTCCATATTCTTCCACCATTTGGTTTTTTCAGTGAAGAAATACATGGCTGTAGTTTATTTACTTTTTCATTTCTGAATGCTGTTACATATTTATACCATGAATTGTCATTTTTCTGTTGATGGGTATTGAATTCTTTCCATTTTTTGTATTATGTTTCCCTTTGTTATTGGAAGTATGTCCTAGGTGTGAAAGAAAAAAATTCATGTTATATTTTCTTAGAGATGGAATTTGTAAGTCTTGCACATGCCTCTCTCTATATATGTTTTACCGCAAAGTGGTCATACTGATTTATAAGTACGGTGGCAAAGTTTTCACTTTTTTGTGGGACTGTGGTTTGAACTTGGGCCTCACGCTTGCTAGGCCAGTGCTCTACCACTTGAGACACTCCTCCAGCAAAGTTTTCATTTTTATATTTTTGGTAGTACTGGAGTTTGAACTGAGGGCCTCACACTTGCTAGGCAGGCTTTCTACCATGTGAGCCATTCTGTCAGCCCTTTTTTGTGTTGGGTATTTTTGAGATAGGGTCTAGGCCTGGGGCTGGCTTTGAACTGAGATTCTCTTGATTGCTGCCTCCTGAGTAGCTAGGATTACAGGTATATATAAGCCACTGGTACCTAGCCTTTAGGAAATTTTTGTTTGATCCAAGTCCCTTTCTGTTTTCATCATTTAATTTTTTGGGGGGGGGGAGGGGCTGAGGTTTGAACTCCGTACTTTGTACTTGCAAAGCAGGTACTCTACCACTTGAGCCACACCTTGAGTCCGCTTTACTTTGGTTATTTTGGAGATGGGTCTGTTGAACTGTTTGTCCAGGCTGGCCTCACAACTGCAGTCCTCCCGATCTCAACCTTCCATGTAGCTATTGATTATAGGCCTGAGCCACTCTCCCTGAGGGAGTTAGTATTTTCATCCTGGTTCTTGGAATTTCTCCTCAACTTTATCTTCAAGGTTTATTTATTTAGCATTCTCTTTGCCTCTGAAGTTATCTTACTCACCCCTCTTTTCATATCCTCAAACTTTGACCAGTATTCTGCAGTGGGGTAGGCTTTGGGAGGAATTTCCCATGGATTAAGAACCAGAGGCTGGGACAGATATTGTATATTAGTAATTCCTGTCAGGTCTCTTCTACTCAAGTGAACATAATATTAGGCATTTGAATGATTTGTTGAATGTGCATGTGGATGGGTGGATAAATAAATGACTGCAATTTACCAGTTGTGGATAGGTTCCAGAACACAAAACCGTATTTTGTCAATTGGAACATTCTACCCCTTCCTTGCTGCCTGTCAAAATTACTCTTTTTACTTTAAAAAAAATATATTTATTCAAATTTAGTTCATATGAAATTAACCCTTTTTTACTGAGGCTTGAACTCAGGGCCTACACCTTGAGCCTCTTCATCAGCCCTTTTTTGTGATGGGTTTTTTCAAGATAGGGTCTTGCAAACTATTTGAGCTGGCTTTGAACCTTGATCTTCCTGATCTCTGCCTCCTGAGTAGCTAGGATTATAGACCTAAGCCACCGGTGCTTGTAATGCATTCAGGAAATTGTGCACATACCCTTTATATTTTTTTTAATGAACACATTTTTTTGTGGGGGGACTGGAGTTTGAACTCAGCGCTTCACAATTTGCAATGCAGGCACTCTTACTTGAGCTACACCTCCAGTCCGTTTTTTGCTGTGGCCCAGGCTGGCCTTAACCATGATCCTCTTAATCTCAGTTGCCCAAGAAACTAAGGTTATAGACATAAGCCACTGGCACCTGGCTGACACTTTTAGTTTTGTTTGTACTGGGGTTTGAACTCAGACTTATGCTTGCTAGACAAGTACTCTCCCACTTGAGCCATGCCCCTAGCCTATTACCACTACCTTAATTTCAGAAAACTCATTAATTCCAAAATCATATGCTACACCCATTAATAGTCACTCTCTGCTGCCTCCTTTCCACAGCCTCTGGCATCCACTGTTCTACTTTCTGTTGGGATTTGCCTATTCTGGACATTTCATATAAATGGAATGAGAGCTGGGCACCAATGTCTCATGCCTGTAATCCTAGCCATTAAGGGGGCAGAGATCAGAGGGATCGTGGTTTGAAGCCAGCCAGGGCAAATAGTTTGTGAGACCCTATCTCAAAAAAAAAAAAAAAAAACCATCAGAAAAGTGAACTGGTGGTGTGGCTCAAGGTGTATGTAAGCCTTGAGCTTAAGTCCCAGTATGTTTTTTTTTTAAGTAATGATTTTTGTGCTTGGTTTCTTTCATTTAATATGTCAACTTCAGTGTTCATATTGTAACATGTATCACTTTTTATGGCCAATTAATATTTATTTATTTATTATTTGTGATGCTGGGGTTTGACCTCAGGCCATCATGCTTGCTAGGCAGGCACTCTACCACTTGAGCCACTCATGAGGTAGGGTCTCATGAATTATTTGCCCAGGTTGGCCTTGACATCTAATCCCCCTGATAGTTGCCTCATAAGTAACTAAGATAACAGTTGTGAGCCACCAGTGCCCAGCCAATTAATATTTAATTTACGAATGTTGTGTTTTAAAAATATATTCCTCAGTTGATGGATATTTGAATTGTCTTTTTGTTTGGATGTATGTTTTCAGTTTGAGTCACTTCTTTTTAAAACCTGTTTTTGATTTCATGTGTGCAGCAGAGTTTGTATATTGCTTTTAAAATCTTTTGGCTTCCTGAGTTATCTTTAAGTAATTGGTTGCTATCCTTTTTTCTCTCCACCCCTTTTTTTTGTCTTCCTGTCTTCCTCTCCTGTTCTTTCCTTTCTATGTACAGTGTTTTTCTTTATATGGCTTTCCATAAATGACTGGTGATCTTGGTTGTCTTTTTTATCCCCTCCCTGGCTCCCTTCTTCTGTCCTTACCTTTCTTTTCTCCTTTGGCAGTACTAGGGTTTGCACTCAAAGTCTTGCACTAGCTAAGCAGTCACTCTGAATTTGAGGCCAGCCAGAGTAAAAAAGTTCAACAAGACCCCGTCTTAGTCAATAAGCAGGGCTTAGTGTTACTTGCCTGTGCCTGTGAACCCAGCCACTTGGGAGGCTGCAGACAGAAGGATCAATTGAATCCAGGTCTGAGGCCAGCCCTGGGCAAAAACTTGAGAACATATCTAAAAATCACTAAAGTGAAAAGGCTGGGGCGTGGTTCAAGTGGTAGTGCACCTGCCTAACAAGGATAAGACCCTGAATTAAAACTTCAGCACTGTCCAAAAAAAGTTTATAGATTTAAAAGGCTTTTTAAATTTTCATTTCTGTTTTGTGTGTGTGTGAGCGAGCCTGGTGTTTTGTTTTGTTTTATCATTTTTACATTTATTCACGTGTATGCATTGTTTGGGACACCCCCTCTCCCCACCCCCACCCCCACCCCCATCCTGGTGTTTTAACTCAGGCATTTGTGCTTTGGGAAGCAACAAGCACTCTACTGCTTGAGTCACACATCTCCAGTCCATTGTATTTTTTTTTTTTTTTTTTGAGACAGCGTATCTGTGTAGTCCAGGCTGTCCTGAAACTGTCCTGCTTCAGGTTCCTGAAAGATGGCCTTACAGGTGTGTGCCACCACACCTAGTTCTTGGCAGGATTTTATGTGTATAAGCTTGGTTTTGAAAATGTGGGGCTTTGCTTTTAGAATTATTTAGTAGATATCCATCCAGAGGGTTTTTATTATTATTATTATTTATTATTATTTTGGTTAAACCAGGGTTTGAACTGGGCTTTGCACTTACAAAGCAGGTGCTCTACTGCTTGAGCTGCATCTCCAGTCCATTTTGCTCAGATTACTTTGGAAATGGGGGTCTCATGAAGTGTTTGCCTGGACTGTCCTAGAACTTCCACCCTCCTAATCTCAGCCTCCCAAGTGGCTAGGATTATAGACATGAGACACTGGCACCCTGCAAAGATTTTGGAACAAACTAGTATGTAGAAGTCTTTTCTTTGGGGTGGTTGATTTCTCTAGAAAGTGTTTGCCTGGACTGTCCTAGAACTTCCACCCTCCTAATCTCAGCCTCCCAAGTGGCTAGGATTATAGACATGAGACACTGGCACCCTGCAAAGATTTTGAAACAAACATAGTATGTAGAAGTCTTTTCTTTGGGGTGGTTGATTTCTCTAGAAAACTTAAGCTTGCCTCGTGAGTATAATTAGCCACTTATGTAGGGTTAGGAATAAAAAGAACTGGGTTCAGCCATTTCTTAGAATTATCTTTACTTTTTTCCCTTGTTACTCTTTCTGTACTTCTTCCAGGTCTTCTATCATATCTGGTATTCGACATCCCAGGCCTGTTCTGTGCACTCTTTTCCCATTACTAGGGATTGAACCCAAGGGTTCATACCAGTAAGAGTACTACTTGTTTCACAGTACCAACTCTTGTACACTCTCTTCACACTTTAAAATTTAAGGCTGAAAACTGTGAGGCTCTCGTTTTTTAATATATAATGTCAGGCATGCACCTGTTTTTTTTGGCCTCAAACGTCACTGTACCCTTTTTTATTTCAGTCCAGATCTACTTTACTTTGTAAGATAATTGATTCTTTCTCCTTAGTATCTACCTCTGTAGCCTTTTTTTCCTCTACTAACCATCCACCCATTTGCATTTTGTCCTTTTTGAAAATACTGTTGAAATCTCTATTGCTAATTCCAGTCTTTTATACTCTCTTAGGAACAGTTTAGGGAGATGTGAGAAGTGTATGTATCCTCCCAGTTTGGAATTTCCTGGGTAGAGGATTGAACTCTGAGACCTCATGTCTGTGTGCACATGATCTATCACTGGGCTATTTCTCCAGCTCCTGGGGTATTTCTGATCATTTCGAGGAATTTTTTTTTTCTTTACATATGTTATACCACTGTATTTAGCAGTTTATTCTTCCAAGTTTCTTTATTAACATATCTACCATTTCCAATGTCATTGTATATAAATCCACATTTTTTTTCGTTAGTGCGCTTTTGTTTTTCTTTTTTGATTCAGGGTTTCTCCGTGTAGCCCATGCTGGCCTGGAACTCACTGCATAGCCCTGTCTGGTTTCAAACTCACCATCCTGTCTCAGTCTCCTACAGGTGTGTGCCACCACACCCAACTATATTTAGTTTTAAAACAATTTTTTTGGGGGATAGGGTCCTACTAGCTGAGACTGAGTCCATTCTCCTGCCTGAGCCTCCTGAGTGCTTGGCCTTTTAAGACAGTCTTCCTTAACTCTCCGCCCCCCTTCAGTGCTGGGGACCAGACTCAGGGCCTTGCACTTGGTAGCCAAGTGCTCTTCCACTGAGACTCCTACCCCTTAAAATATAATCTTAATTGACTTAATACTTACTTGACTTTAGTATCATTTGCTCTAACCATTTCAGGTACATTTGACCACATTAGGCACTTAGTTTTTTAATGTATGTGTGCTTTTGACAGGATAAATAATGCTATAAAATTTCTATATTATTAAAAGCATGTAGCTCATTGGTTTACTCTTGTGTAGGCTGTGGGTTTGATCCCCAGAATCGTTCCCCAAAAAGGTAGGGAATTAATTTTCTGTTCCTTTTTCTTAAAAATGGTGCTGAGTCTTAAGTCCAGGGCTTCCTGCATAATAGGCAAGTGGACATCCCAGTCCCAGAAATTTTCTTTTCTTTGTAGCAAAAATAATAGTAAAGTTTATTAGTAAAGGTATTTATTATAACAAGATAAAAGTGGAGAGAAATGGAAAAAAAAGAAAAACATTTCCTACCCCCATGGCAGTAAATGGGAGTAGAGACTCTCCCAGAAATTTTCTTAAGCACCAGTAAGAATTCATACTTTTTTAAAACAATTTGTTAATGTATATCATCTAATGTTTGTGAGAGAATTGTAGCAAATTTACTTGCCTGTATGACTGTAATTTATTTTTTGCTTTATACAGTGTCTGTACCCCTACCTCCCCATATAATTGTGCTATAATTTGTATTAAAATTGGTTTATTTTGATAAGTGGTCATTTTTTTTCTTTTTTCTTTTTTTTTAAGAAATGTGGTTTGGTTTTGAGCTGGAAGAGAGTACAAGGTGCTTCTGGCAAACTTCAAGGTAGGTTGTGTTTTCCTTATTTGTTGAGATCATTACTAATGTCTAAGTATAAATCACTTAATTTTTGCTTTCATTGTTTTACTAGAATAGTATTTAAAGGTGAATTGAGAAGACATTAGCTTAGAGTTGAGATTAAAAGATGAAAAGTAGAAGAGGAAAAAGTAAAAATTACTCAATACTGGTTTCTTAATTTTAAAGGGTCTTTTTTGTCTGTCAGTGTAACTCTGTGATCAAGAGGGAGCAGTTAGAACTTCGAAAAAGAATAGAAGAGCAGATAATCACATGGTCTGTTACTGTATTCATGTATTTATTTTGGTGGTACTGGGGTTTCAGTTCAGGGCTTCATGCTTGCTTAGGCAGGCGGTCTACCACTTGAACTAGCCCCTTTTTATATTGGGTATGTATTTTGAAATAGGCTCTTAACTCTTTTGTGTGAGCTGGTCTCAAACTTCGATCCACCTGATTGCTTTCTCTCAAGGAGCTAGTATTAGAGCTATGAGCCACCAGTGCCTGGCTTGGCTTTTTGTTTTTTTGGTGGTGCTGATGATTGAGCTCAGTGCCTTGTATAAGTACTCTACCATTAAACCATATCCCCAGCCTGGCCTGTTGGTCTTCAAAGACTTTTTTTTGGCTGTGCTGGGGATTGAACCCATGGGTAGCCAGATGAAAACACTCTAAGTGAACTGTATAAATAGTTCTGGTAGCACATTTATTTAAAAAAAAAAAACTTTATTATGGAAAAATTCATACATGTATAAAATTAGGATAGTATGATAAACTTCCATGTACTCCTCACTCAGCTTTAACAGTTATTAACTCATGGCCAAATGTGTTTCATTTGTTTCCTTTATATTATTTCAATGCAATTCCAAAGCATCAGATGATCTATATATGTGTATACATACATTTTTGTGTGTTTAAATATGTATTTTTTAGCCTTACATATTTAAAATAAATATATGTCTAAATATGTATTTTTTTAGCCTATCTGGAAGTTGGATTTTTTTTTTTGTGGTAATGGGGAAGATAAGGCCTTTAGAAAAATTATCCAAAATAGGATTATAGACCTAAAATAATTGTTTTTCCTAATATTATTAATATGCAGTTAACATTAAAATATTCACTGTTTTGTGTCACTCTTTTACTGTTTATTTGATTCATGATCTATACATAATCAACATACTTCTTTTAATTGGGAATTGATTATTTTTAATTATCGATAGTTTTAAGTCTTTTCATCTCATTTCCTTTACAATTTATTTTTTGAAGAAATTGGGTCATTTGTCATTCCCTCAGTAGCATTTCTTAAATTTGCTTTCACCTGTCTTAGCTCCACTAGCATAATTTGCCATGAATTTCTCTGCTGTATTTTCTCTTTTTTTTTTTAACCCTATCTCAAACAAACTGGTAGTTGTATCTTGATACTTGACTAGATTTGAGTTTTTGCTGCCTTTCTCCACCTCCCCTTTTTATAATATCTATTGATTGTCAATAGGTAAATCACTTGTCAGGGGATCACAGAATAGTATGTTATAGTGTATTGTGTTATCGCTCATTAAATATATAACAATCCTTCATTTATTTGTATAATACTTACATATGGAGAAACTTCTGTCTATGTCTGTGTCTAATATGTATGTACCTAGAGACATAGTTGATATAGGAAAGACAGAATGAATGGCTTTGACTCTTATTTCTGAAAGGAGTAAGCTGGTATTTCAGCGTTCTCTGGTGTGGTGAGGTTTTTTTTTTTTTAATGTCGAGGTACTGGAGATTGAATCCAGGGCCTTGTGCATGCTAGGTACAACCTCAGCCACTGAGCTATACCCTCAGCCCTGTTACTTTATTTTTTAACTGAAGAATAGTCAATATTACTATATTTAGTATTGATTCATTGTAATTCCTATTACTTAAAAGCTTGAGGTGGCTTAAGTTGCCTATGTAATTTGCATCATTAGTGGTTCTTTGTGATACAACCATTACTTCGATTGATATCTTCCTTATTTGGCATGACAAGATTTTCCAAGCTGCTCATGTAGTAGTTTTTCAGCCCTAATCTTTGAATTCATCTTTATTCATTTACTCATTTATTTATGCCAGCAGTGGAGGGTTGAGCTCAAGGCCTTGTGCTTGCTATGCATGTACTCTATCACTTGAGCCCAGTTCTACAGCCCTTTTTGCATTGATTACTTTGAGATTGGGTCTTGCTTTGTGCCTGGGCCAGCCTGGGCTTTGATCCTCTTTATCATGCTTCCCTTGTAGCTGGGATAACAGAGGCATGCCACTAGGTCCATCCATTGGTTGAGAAAGGGTCTTTTGTCCAGACCAGCCTCAAACCAGGATCCTCCCTCTCCTCTGCATCCTATTAGCTCGGTGCCTCTGCACCTGGCACAATTTGTAATTTCTTCAAGGAATTCTAGTTCCTTTTGTCTATACTGTTTTTTTAAAATCATAGTCTGGACACTATAATTGTACCTGGTTTTCTAATGCACACCAGATTCAACCCTAAGAGATTTTGATTTAGCTGGACTTTGGTGGCTCATGCCTGTAATCCTAGCTATTCAGGAGGCAGAGATCAGGAGAATTGCAGTTTGAAGCCAACCAACTCTGAGGACTAGTTTGTGAGACCCTATCTCAAAAAAACCAAAAAGGGTTGGTGGAGTGGCTCAAAGTGTAGGCCCTGAGTTCAAACCCCAGTACTGTTAAAAAAAAAAAATTATGTAACTCCTTTTGTCATATCTGAATTTTTAGTCTTCTTCCTTGACAGGGACAGTGTTGGTGATAAATTATTAAATACTGAATTGCTTTATCTCACATTACACATGCAGCATTCTCAGACTAATAGCAACACTGTTGCCAGTGTGATTATTGCTGGTTGATTTTTTTGGCAAGCCTTTTTGTCCTTAGGACATATCATACAAAATATATATGGTCAAATTTTCTGTTTCAGTATCACTTTGAATAGTTCCTCACTGTGTGATTATGTCATTAATTAGGTACATACTTAGATTTATTTTCAATGTTTAGGTTGGTTTAGAGACTCACTCTGTCACCCTGGATGCTCTTGAACTCATGGGCCTTGAAGCACTCAGCCTCCTGAGTGCTTGGATTGCTATTTTTAAATTCAATTTTGTTTTAATATTTTTATTTAATATGTTATGTTAATAGTGAGCTTTATGCCAGACATAGTGGTGCTTGCCTGTAATCTCAGCACTCAGGAAGCTAAGGCAAGAGGATTGTGAGTTCAAGACCAGCGTGGACTACATAGTCAGATCCTGTGGGGGAAAAAAAAGTGTCAGGCATGGTGTCTCCTAACTGTAATCCCAGCTTTGGAGGCAGAGATTAGGATGATTGAGGTTTGAGGCCAGCCCAGGCAAATGTTATCAAGAACCCCCCATCTCATCAGTAAGGCATGCATGGTGGTGCAGATCTGTGATCCCCGTTATGTGAAAGGCCATAGGTAAAAGTATCAGTGGTCCAAGGCAAGCCCTAAGCAAAACCGTGAAACCCTATCTGAAAAATAACTAAGGTAGAAAAGGGCTTGGGGCCTGGTTCAACTGGCAGAGCACTTCCCTAGCAAGATCCAGGCCTTGAGTTCAAACC